GCTATAAACATTCGGGTGCAGGTGTCTTTCTTATACAGTATCATTTGCTCTTTTGGGTAGATGCCCAGTAATGGGATTGCTGGATCGAATGGTACTTATTTTATGGAAATGTAGTTAATGGAATAAAAGAAATTTCATTTGATCTTGATGTATGTGCTTTCATTTTATTTTATTTCATAAATATGTTAAAATGAAAGTATTCTTTTCCTTCTTTCACCTTTAATACATTTTTTTCTCTTTTGATTCCTTTTACCTAAGCTTTATATGTAAAGTACATTTTACATTAGGTAGGTTTAATAAGTACCAGCTGATTAACTAAGTATCATAAATAAAGCAAATAATATTGACATTTATTGGATTCTCAAGACCTGGTAGGGAGGGTATACAAAGCAGAAGTCTGGTAACACAGTGCGGATGCTAACTGCTATCAGTTAAAATTGGGCAGTTGATTTGTCATCTTTAACTGCTGGTATTACAGAACACTCAGCACTGAACACAAGGCAGATGTTTATATGGCCATGATTTGGAGCTCTACTCAAATGCAAATATGGTTTTTCCAGTCTGCTGGTTAACCAAGGCTATCAACTAAAATATGAGGAAAAACTTAACTTTTAAACTTGGATAAGACAGGTAGTGATTGAGAAATATTTAACCTAAATGCACACTGGCTTTATATAAATATTAAGTTTAAAGAGACCATGATTTTAAATAATAAGGATATTTTTCTATTTTTTAACTTAATGCTGCAGAATAAAATATATTGTTTGTCTCTGTTTTACACAATAAATTATCCTAGAATATCAAGATATGAAATGAAGGACAGAACATAATTAACATACTAATATCGTGAGATTTAGCCCCGAGATAGTATGACAAATCCATCTATAGTTGAATGACAATAAAGGAGAACTCGTCTGCAAGTATTTTGACTTAACATTATTTTTTCCATTTGAGAATATTGAAATTGCTACCAAATAATTTTTCTTTCCTCCAAGATTTTCGGGCTAGCATTAACTTAAAAACAAGTTCTCATTCAGTTACATTGATTACTTCTATACTTCTTTCACTTTGGTTATTACTACAATAGTGGCTATTATTAGCTCTAGATTAAAAGTATTTTAATAAATAGGTATACTTGAGGAAGATATTAATAAAAATCATAGTTATAGAGAAAATTATTAAAAAAT